ATGTTTGCGGGAATCGCCGGGCAGTGACCTTACTATTGTTCGTTATGTTCCAGGTCGGGGAAAAGCGCTGCCGCCTTCTACCTCTAACTTCCAGCAGGGCAGCGAGAAAGTACGGGTGGATCAACCCTGCCGCTGCCTTACCAAGGCTATGATGCAGGCCTCAGATGGCTAGCGATGAAAGAAGGAGAGAGAGAGAGAGAAAGAGAGAGAGAAAGCAGACCGAGCGATGAGAGAGACGTGAGGGAGAGAGAGAGAGAGAGAAAGAGAGAGAGAGAGAAGAAGAGATGAGAGAGAGGAGAGCGGGAGAGAGGAGAGACGGAAAGAGAATACGATAGAGGAGAGGAGGAGGGAGAAAAAGAGGAGAGAAAGACAGGAAAGAAAGAGATGAGAAAAGAGAGAGAGAGAGAAGGAAGGAGATGGAGAGAGCAGCAAAGGAGGAGAGAGAGGAGAGAGAGAGATGAGAGAGAGAGAAACGAGAGAGAGAGAGAGAGACGAGAGAGAGAGAGAGGGAGAGAAAGAGAGTCGACGCGAGAGAGACGAGAGAGAGCATGAGGAGGATCGGAAGAGAGATAGGATAGATAGATAGATAGTGATAAGATAGATAGATAGATAGATAGATAGATAGATAGATAGAGTATATATATATAGTAGCATAGATAGATAGATAGATAGATTAGATAGATAGGGGTGATGATAGATAGATAGATAGACATGCAGTACAGATGATATTATATATATATTCTATATATTATTTAATATATGGGAGAATGATGGATGGATGATGTGGGATGGATGGATGGTGGTATGGATGGATGGATGGTGGATGGGATGGATGGGAATGGATGGCGATGGATGGATGATAGACTTACGCTAAGCTAGCATAGATAGAGAGATTAGAGAGAGAGATATGAGAGAGAGAGAAGAGGGAGAGAGAGAGAGAGAGCAGGAGAGGAGAGGAGCCTTGGAGAGAAGAGAGAGAGAAAGGATGGGGAGAAGGAGAAGGAGAAGAGAGTGAAAGAATGAGAGGTGAGCGTAGATGGCATTGACATGGAGAGATTCCCATCTCTACTTGAATTACCACGTTCAACGAATACTCTGCCTTCTGTATTATAATTTTGATGAAAAATAACTATTTACCTTGGAATATGGATGATTTGGATAGTAGCTGGTGGTTAATTATTTTACAAATTATTATTACTTTTGTATATTGGTTTAATTTTTCACTATTATAAGTATTAATATTAAAGAGCTACGTGAAAGCTGTGTTTTTAGTGTTATATGACTGTTGTGTTAAAATAACAACGGATTTTATTTAGTACCATTGCTAGTAATTATATTTTATTATAATTATTGAACGTCATGTATGAATTGTATTTATTATGGATTTAATTTGGTAAACTCTAATGGCTAAAATAATCTCTTAACTTAATTAGTGTTGGAAATTCGTTTAAAATATTAATCAAGATAAAATTCAACCCATTAATAAGAAAGTTAAAGGTTTTTGACCCGATTAGCACGTTTAATTGTTTTTCGCATCAGCGAATAAAACATTTCCAAGAATGTTTCCAGATACGTCGAACTATTTCTGTCAATTAATGTAAATCGATGGGAGAGAAAAAAAGTTGTTACGTCTGGTAATTAAATTTCCGATGAATGATGTGGCTTCTTGAGACGCATGCCTTTGTCGAGCGATTTACAGAACTTCCACAAAAACATTTAAATAAGCATTGCAAATCGCATTTCACCGCGCGAGCCAACAGGATCGCACGTCACCGACATACGACAGCACGCTCACCGTAATTTTTGCATGCAGATTGCATTTTTTGTTCCTGCTTCTAATCACGCTTCTAATCTAAGTGTCTAGCATCTAGTCTCACCGAGATAGCGCGGTACAACTCGAGATGGCTGAGGTGTCGTAACCATGATGCAACTTGATGTCATCGGTCATGTAACTGACGCGTGTCTGCCTGGCGCTGTTGAGCTCATCTCGTGTTATGGCGTTACGTGAGCGTTTTACGGGGAATGTTTTTGCATGTAGTTTTCTTATTCCTGAATAATCTTACGTTACCGGGCCGTTGCAATAGCATGAGCCTAGTTGTCAGGCCGTAGATACTGTTGGCTTATACTGTTCACCGGATAGGAATGCGTTTTCTCGCTAAATGTATCGAATCAGACGTCACGTGACACGAGAACAGGTTTATAAGCTATTCTATTCGAGTCGAACGAAACGACAGTGGCTGCAGATGTTAATTTGGAATTGTTGTATGTATATATATATACTATAATATATATATATATATATATATAATTGATAGATAGCATTAGTAGTAGTAGATAATAGATAGATAGATAGATAGATAGATAGGCATAGATAGATTAGATTTAGATAGATAGGTAGGTAGATTAATAGATGATAGTAATACGTTAGTATATATATATAGATAGATTAGATAGATAGATTAGTAGATAGCATAGTAGATAGATAGATTAGATAGATAGATAGATGTAGATAGAGTAGATAGATAGATAAGATAGATAGATAGATAGATAGATAGGATAGATAAATAAGTAAGTAGATAGATAGATAGAATAGATAGAAACTAGATAGATAGATAGATAGTAGATTAGATGTTAGGTTAGAATAGATAGATAGATAAGTAGATAAATAAGGTAAATAATAAATAAATATATATATAGATTAAAAAAAAACTCATTTCTTAGGTTCGCGTTACATCAGCATCTGTGCTTCGCGTGTGTCGCAGGGCTCGGCCGGACCCCCGCGGGCCCCCCGGAACACATCAGCGGTCTCGCGAGGTGCAGGGATACAGGAGAATGCGAGGAGAGCCGGGAGAGCCTGAAGACCAGGTGTAGTATCAGCAGCCAGCAGTTCATCTGTGTGGTTGCCTCGCTGAATTGGCGTCTAAATGTGTGCTAGTGTTCTTCGAATCGAAGAGACGGGCGCATGCAATGGCAGGGTGCTCTGTCAGTGGCGCGGGGCAAAACATGCACGCACGCACGCAACGACGCGACAAACAAACACACAACACACACACAGCACACAACACACCCACACAATCGATACGTTATCGCTTGTTTCTGATTTGAGTATGTGATAATAGTTGAGCAGTGTGCCTCAGCAGTTGGTCTGATTGTGTAGGGGAGGCAGTTTGCCATTCAGGTCCACTTGTGTTGCCATGTTTCATTAGCGTTTCGTCTTGGTCTGAGGTACTATCAAGTAAATCAATTGCTATCG